CAAAAGAAAATTATGAATTAAACTTAGACACAATAGAAACAAGTTACAAAATCATAGATCCACATGAATATGCAAGATTTTCATGCAACTGATCACATAGCTAACAAAGTCATTAACAACATAACATACTTTGTGATTTATAGTGATTTTCATCCATTTACTTGCTTTAATCAAGCTTTTAATCATAGATTCACCAACATATGCAACTTCAACATAACCAAAAAGGGTTAAAGCTCCTATTTGACTCAAAATCACAAATTATTCCCCTTGATTATGAAAAGTACTTCCTTATTTCGTGTTTTTGGATTGATTCTTAGGTGATCTTTCTCTTCTTCCCTTTTTGCTCTCTTTCTCCTCTTGGAATAGATCCACACGAATATGCAAGATTTTCATGCAACTGATCACATAGCAAACAAAGTCATCAACAACATAACATATTTTGTGGTTCATAGTGATTTTCATGCATTTACTTGCTTTAATCAAGCTTTAAATCATAGATTCACTAACACATGCAACTTCAACATAACCAAAAAGGGTTAAAGCTCCCATTTGACTCAAAATCACAAATTATTTCCCTTGATTATGAAATTACTTCCTTATTTAGTGTTTTTGGATTGATCCTTAGATGATCCTTCTCCTCTTCCCTTTTTGCTCTCTTTCTCCTCTTGGAAGTGAGTTTCCTTCTCTTTTGTCCTCCTTTTTACTCACGTGACAATGATCTCCAAGAAGAAAGATTATAAGCTTTGTGGATTTGTGAGGTATCTAGATATTTTTTGTGGGGTTGAATGCTTGATTCAAGGCTTTTATGATAGGATATTAGTTGATCTAACTTCGTGGAGTTCAAGAGAAGTGTTTGAGATGAACTTGGAAGTGTTTAGAGAGAATTAAGATGAAGAAGAATGAAAAACTCCTTAGGCTTGCATGAAAATTGGTGAAAGTTCTTCTCTTTGCATGCATGCCTTTAAATAACAATTTTTCTTGATTTTGGTCCCTCTCAAGAGAACCTATTAGCTGCTACCCTCTCTCACAAGTGTTGAGGTTTGATTTTAGTCTTTTTTTTACCTTATTCCACAAGCCTATACATGTGCACATTTGTAAAAGTTTAAATTGCCCTTTCATGATGACTTTTGTACTTCTAGTTAGATTTTAACCTTTCTAGTTCTATTTTAATTACTTTTTGAAACCTATTTAGTTCAAATCCAATGGTCATGTTTATGGTTCAATTAGATCCATTGAATGAGAATTAATCCAATCTTTAACACAAATTACTCATCATTAGCTTTATCTACTTATTGATTACTTTGTTGACTTGACTTAACTTCATTGGCTCTTGTGGAATATACCCATTGATGAATCCACATTTTGTTAATATTTTACCTATCTTTTTCATAGATTTTTAAAGGAAAAATGAAGTTAAAAATTATAAATACCATAAAAATCTCAATTTTGCCAATTATTTTAACTTTCTTATTTTTTGTTCAATTTACATTGATTTTTGTAATTATCTTTTGCAATTTTACTCACTAAAATAATTGTACAAGAATTTTTGGTCAAAATCTATGAGAGTTGAACTTAGAGAAGAAATTGGGTGAAAGTAACTACTTCTAGTACCCAAAGTAGTCACTATAGCAAGCTATCCCCAGGAGTCAAGTGAAAGTAATCACTTCCAACAATGAAAGTAGTCACTATAGAGTCAGATCTGGAAGAAGAAGCTGCACGTATTCACTATGATAGTTAACACTACATATAGCATTTCCTAAAGGAGACTGCACATAATCACTTTCACTACTCATAGTGATTATGCACAGGCTTGTTTGGTCCAATGAAGCTGCACGTGCTTACTTTCACTAGTCATAGTAATTACGCGCGTTGCTCGTAACCACTTTCACTAGTGAAAGTGAACATTACAGAGAGGAGAAAATGCAATAGGCTGCACGTAAACACTATTAATAGCCAAAGTGATCACTTCAGGAAGCATTATTTTTACTATAAATAGGATTTTCACTTTTAGGATAAAGATCTTTTTGCCATTATTGTACTTTTCATTACATACACTTTGTAGAGGTTTTAGGTCAGAACCTTGGTAGCAGCCAAAGGTTCAAATTTGGATTTCTTTCTTACTTAATCTTGTTTCTTTTCTAATTTATTTGAATTTTCTTTAGTTTTGTTGGGCATCATCTCTTGTAATGCTGACCCCATTCTCATAGAAGGCTAAATTTTGTTTATTAATCCCTAACAAGTTCATAGAGGTTCTTGAAATCTTGGTTTGATTGCCAATTCAAATTTCTTTCCATGAATTTCATTTTTCCTAATCTCTTGAAAACTGAGTTAAGAATTAAATAGAGGTTGTTACTTAATCAATCTTAATTTTGTTTTTAACACAGGTTTAAAACTCAGTTTGCTTAATTCTGGGTTTGATTCTAAGTGTGCTTAATTCTAAGGACCAAGGATTGGAGCTCATGTGATTTGCTTAATCTTGCATGAGAAATTAAGATTAATTGACACTTGCTCTAATTAACCTAATTCTAGGGAAGGATGATGTGTTGATTTTAAGAGGATTTATGATGAAATCAATATGGATGAACTAGGGATTAATATCTTTCATTGATTGATTTTTCCAATTTAGTTTCCTACTTGAATGATTTTAAATCTAAAAACAATAAAACTCCCTTGTTTATTTTCTGGACTTAGTGCTCATGACATGTTTGATGTATAATTTTATACCCAATGTTCACAAGAGAACGCCCTAAGTTGATTCAATCTAGTACTACATTAATTTTGTTTATATTTTGATAGAGGTAGTGACAACCTTCTCATCACCCATTCAGCTGGAATTAAACCATAAATAATTTTATTCCTTAATCATAATTAGTCTCACATGGGCTCCTAATGAGTCACATAGCTCCGTACTATTCCTAGCCCACTTTCCTTCATCTATACTTGATTTTTGGGCCTCTTTTTGGAGAAATTTGAGTAATTTCTATACTTGTCTTTTAGGCTCCATACTTGCACGTCCATAACCTTTATATATGTGTTATCTATTATAAAAATTTCAGAATTTATCTCCTTCATTTGCTTGCTAAAATAAGCCTTCATTCTAAGTATTTCTAAGGATATTTTGATCATTTTGGTCAAATTTTGTAATTTATTTATTTTCTATTATTGGATCTTTCTAGACCTTTTATAATTCATATAAAACTATTCTAGATAATCTAAACTTATTAAATAAAATTTTGGGTCTTTTTTCCTTTTTATGTTCTTCGATTCTTTACTAATTGGATCTGTTCCGATAAATTTTGCTAAAAGAAATTCTAGTTTTTAAGTCTCTTTGTACTACTTATTTCTAATTCAATAAGATTGATTTAATATAATATTAAAAGTGACAAAAAATTTAGAGTGTTCAAAATGCAATGGAAAAAATAGTTTTAAAAAAAATATTACTTGAAGCACGTTGCTCACACTTTTGCTTTTTGTCCTAACATTCACTACACTCCAAGTTGAGATTGAATGACACACACCTTTTAATCTAGATAGAGATGACACTTTGCACATTAATCTCTTTATGTGAATCAAACTTTAAATATGCAAGCAGTATTAATCTCACTTCTATTTAAGGTTAATTTATTAAACATAAGGTAAGCACATGATTAATTGCTCCAACTCATCCTATTCTCTTAGCTAAGCATCTTTTTTTTTTTTTTCTCTCCAATCAAGGTATTTCATATGTTAAAGATTATCATGTGTGAGTGATGAGTTGAATTTCCATTATCTATTTCATTATTTAATAAGACTAAGTTAATGATAAAGATTAATTTTTAATAAATTCAAAATATTATAAACTAAATTAAAAATACATTTAAATTTCCATTATCTATTTCATTATTTAATAAGACTAAGTTGATGATAAGGATTAATTTTTAATAGATTTAAAATATTATAAACTAAATTAAAAAAGTACAATTTTTTTAAGAACTAAAAATTTAATTAAACTTAAAAAATATTATTCTTGTAAATATATCACCTTAGTAGTATTAACTGAACATACAAAATTTTAATGTTTTAGTATTAGGATTTATAAAAAATAAGAAAAATATAATTATAAAGAATTATAAATTTACGATCACATTCTTGTCTAATTATTTTATATAAATTTTTTTATTTTAAAATTAAAAAAAATTTAAATTTATAATTATATAGAATTAAATGTAAAAGAGACTTATTCAAATATATAGTTTTAAATTTTTAGTAAATTTTTAAATTTTTCTTTTTTTTTACTCTCTTCTTTTTTCTCTATTGTTTTTCAAATGGTGCATTTTACTTACTTATCCTTATCTTTTATGGATTCAACTTTTAGAATTTTGAAAAAGAATTTAAATAAAATAACTAATAATAAATTAAATAATCTAAAAAAAGACTTATATCTCATTAAGTCCATAATTTCATCTATTGATAGTATGACCAAATAAAAGACAACTTTATTTCTGGCCATAATGTTGCAAACTATAACACAATTCATTTTTTCCAAGCTTGTATTTTGTGGAAATTCGCACTGCATTGGTAGTGAAGAACTGCAAATAAATCTAACCAATTTTGCATTTAATTTAATAAAGTTTACTGCTTTTACGCTGATCTAGTCCATCATTAATGCAATCATTTTTTGTGTTTCTAAAATTTTAAATATTCTTCAATTTATTCTCATATTATAGAATTAGAATAAATAATCATTTTAATTGTTATAATTATAAGTACTATTTGATATTGTCCTTAAAATTATAAAGTGAAATTTTAATGAATAATAATAATAATAATCTCATAAATTTTTTCTTAAAATATGCTTGAAGTAAAAACAAAAGTAAAATTCAATAACACATTCTTCATTGTTATTTTTAATTTCTTATAAAATAAAATTACATTAACATTTAATTTATCATATTGGCTTATGGATCCATTTAAAGGCCCATTAATAACCGGTTTATGACCCAAAGGAAAAACCAGTTTGGGAAAGTAAAAAAGAAAAATAGATCTTCCATGTGAATCTGTTACACACCCCAAATGCTCAACGCTTCCAGCATGAATCGTTCTTCTGTGACGAACCCTAAGCCCCAAATTCGATTTCATCAGTGAACAGTGACGAACCCCAAGTCCCCAGTCGACCCTAATTTGAGCTTCCATTCACCAACCGCGTTGTGTTCACCGTTAGAGCTTCCATTACCATTGCTTGATTCAGTCTGTTTTCTCTTTCCTATTCTGTTATTTTCATAACATTCTTGATGTTTCCCAATTTCTATTGATTTTTGTTTTTATTTATTTATTTATTTATATCATATCTTGATTTTGGTTTAGATTTTGCTTAGGCATCTAAAATCCAGATACTGCCTATGATGTGCTTGAGAATATGCCTCTGCTATGCTTTCTTAACCATACGGAATGATTTTGTAGAAATGAAAATTGCGTATAATATGTAAAGCTGCAACTTTTTATGCACTGTTGTGACTCCTTCTATGTTCCTTTATGAGAAATTAGTGCTTATAGGAGCTTTCTGTGAGCTCTGCATTGTCTTTCTCTTTAGTTTTAGCTACTGAAAATGTCCTTATTACAATAGCGTTCTTTAAACTATGTTTAGTTGACTATGTGCAAGAAAGCATGGGAATTGATAACCAGCTCCCACTCGACTGTAAGTTCGTTAGCTAGGTAATGAGAATTGAGGTGTATTGAACGATGATGGAAATATACATCCTTGTTTATGCATCATTTTTTAGAAGAGTTTGAGTATGTCTCTGAAGAGCCAATAAATTTTGATGGTAGAGGATGGTGGAGTTGACAATTGTCCGTAGGAAATTATTGTTATTTTGAAACACTTACAAACAATGGTGAAAGGATTTCGTGTTTACTATTTCATGTATAATATTGAATTGAAGGTTCACTTTTGTATGAATTTGGCTGCACTAGTGCTTTCATAGAGGTACTAAGTAAATGTAAGATTTTAAAAGTTTTCAAAATAAATCTACTTATGTATTATTTGAGGAATGAGGAGCCTGTTTGTTTTTCTATATGTAAATTTAGTGTGACCTTTTCTGCATTTTATTCTTATTATTTAACTATTTTATACTTTTTTTTTAATACACTACATGCTCTTATTTTACCTTTTTATTTGTTGTAAAAGTTTTTTGTTTCAAAGTTCTGTACTTAAATAACAAAAATAATAGTTTCTTTATTTATTTCAAAAGAACCTGCCCTCTTCTACATTTATAGTTACTAGTTTTAAAGTCTTAAACTGGCTTAATTAAGGTAATGACATTCCCAAGTGCCCCTTTTCAGATTTGATCATCAATTTTCATTATCAGGCATCAGCATGGAACCTCAAAATTTTGACCCAAGACATTCTGGAGAGTTGTTGAAGTACACTTCCTTGAACCAACACTTCTTCATATCTCAATTCAACTTTTTTCATTTGAACTTTTTTTCATTCCATGTTTCTGGTGAACAGGCACATGGATAAGCAGAATGAGGTCCTTATGGAATCATATAGATCAATGTTGCATGAATTGCAGAAACTTCAGGTATGAATTTCTCAGTTTGAAATTTGAATTTTAGGGCTTGCAGTTTTACATGGCAAAATGGGCTACCTTTCAGATTTAAGCTTTAGGCCTTAGTAGGCTGGGCCAAAAAGCCTCCTTTTTATTCAAGAAACAATATAGAACACCATGCTCGATTTGAATACTTAAATATACTGAGCCATCCTGAACTTGATCAAAGAGAAACCTAGTCGATTTAGCCAAAAATTCTGGAATTAATTTTTGCCTTAAATTTAGAGTCCAAGTTCTATATTTTAGCAAACATAATTGAGCCGGCCCCTTGTTGCCACCTTTACCTACCGGAGGGAGAGAGAAAAATTTTGATTTGGGGGCTTTATTTTTGTCTTTTCAGACTTGATTTCCATAAGTTTTGAGTTGATAATGGAAGGCCATTGTTCTGTATGCTTTTGTCTGATAGAGATTTGCATTCTTCAATTTGGAGGGTTTGGGTAGTATAAAAGCAATTTGATATGTGTTGCTTGTAAGAGAGAAATGTATATTGAGATTTTGATACTAGTTTCTGGCTGTACATTTAATTAACTCGTTATGTGATTCTAGCTCATTTGGTTTCAATCTGTTGCTCCAAATAAGACAGCAAACTGATTAATCTTCTATATGTCACGCTAAAGCCCTTTTGATGGCTACTTTGTCTTAACATGTGATGGCTAGTTTGTTTGATATCTAATATTTCAATCTCTTACTTACTAGAAAACAATCTTTCCTATTGATGTTATATGCTCTTTCTCTGATTTATCTTCTGAATGACATGTTTATGACACTTTTTGATGCCATTTTGGAAAGCCATGTTTCATTATGAATTCCAATTCTGGTCTTTCAGTTTCATTTCTCACTGAGATGCTTATTTGGTTGAACAAACTTTAAAGAAATGGACATTTGGCACTCTACTACTTCCAAATTGGGTTTTTCCCTCCTTTTGATGGTGTGATGATGACTTTCATGTTACAATTTTTTTTTCAGCCAGGGGACAAGGGGTGTTAGTATTCAAGACATAATTTAATTTGGTTTGAACTTTTCTTTGATTAAGACATAATTAACTAAAATTCATGTTTTAATCTACATTGATGTGAATTTCCTAAATTTGAATGTTTACTTATAGGTTGAAGAAGAAATGCTTATGCGGAAGCTGTATGAAGTTATGAAAGCTCATGGTTTTGGTAAAACGGTATGTTGATTTACAATTCTCATTTCTAGTCCATTAAAATGAATATTCCTTGGTCTGTTGACTCTGTCCAAAATATTTAATTGATATGGTAATCCAGAATCACTTCCCCTCTGAGGAGGGAGATTTGCTTATCTGAATTTTGATTCTTTTTATAGGTAAATTACAAGCAATCACAAAATTGTGGAGATTGAGTAGCATTATCTCAAATTGCAGAATTCATTTAACACCCTGTTCGTATACATGTTATAAGTATCAAATATTAGTATTTGATGTTAATCCATCATAATGAGGTTGGGCCTAAGGGGGGACACAAGCCCAATGGCCTGGAAAGTTTATGTTCGGAGAAAGAAATCTATTACTAAAGTGGGTTAATTAGGGGTGGGTTATCATTAGTGGTAGAGGGAAGGAAATAAGGGGATGGTTAAAAGTCTGTACAGGGGAAGTTAGGAAAAATTAGAAGTGTCAAATTGGATGCATATTGGAATAAATTACAATGTATGAGTAAAAAATGAACCATTCATCAATTCATGATCTGTTAAAATGTATTAACAAAATTAATCCATCCATAATGCATTTAATAAAAAATCATAGAACCTATCAATCAACCATTTTTAATGGATGGATATCCAACCCATCTATTTAAATTATGTTATTTATTTTTTCAATAGGTGTTTTTATAAAATAAAGTTTTATATTTATTCACATTCTTACATAATAACACTATATAGGACCTGGTCCTTAAAGAGCTATACCCAACTAATAAACTCTGGACTGCTTGAACAATGGATTAAAAAATATGTTGGATGGTTCATTAATCGAATAACAAACGGTTATCCAATCCAACTCATTAATTTTAATACTTACAATTGGATGGGTTGGTTGAATTTACCATGGTTGGATTGGACAGTTAGTGGATAAATGGATTGAATTGCCACCCCTAGAAAAAATAGTGGGTAGCTTTGTTTTGAAATTTGAGAGTTGTGATTGAGAGGTAGTGCCCTCAGTGTGAGGGACTAACTCTTGTGTTATGTTAGTTTGCTTTCATGTTGTTTCTGAATTCCTAAGCGAAGACTTTTATTTGATATGCTTTTATAGTTTGGGTTTTAATCAATTAAACCTGTAACAATCTCTCTTTCTTGAGTCTTAATTTTGGTTATAGATGGACAAGAAGTAAGTGTCATGTCAGTTGGTAAGAGGTGTGGAATTAGGAAGACAGATGACATCTGTCGTCTTTAATTTGTTAAACCTGGTCGATTGAAGCAATATTTCAATTATCAGCTTTTGATGCTTCATGCTTAAAATCCCCGTTAAAACTTCTGCAAGTTTTATAGCCATACTACAAACAGATAACAAATTGAAATACTACCTCAAATGTTGAATGCCATTTTAAGGATTCCAATCCATTTTGTTTTTGTTACTGCTGAAAACAATTGTTTGATCCATGTAGTACAGTATTAGCCACTTCAGCTAATAGTAAGAAGGCCGGTCATTGTTTATGACCATGCACTAAACATGACGTTTTGAGTTGAGATGGGGGTTATGGTACATCTGTTATTTATTTGAGTAAATTCTATGAAGTGATTGATTTTGCAAGACTTTGACTCATGATGGATTCGATTTTTTACAGGTATAGAATAAGTCCATCTGTTTCTTTATACACTAGCTAATATCATGGTATATCTATCAAAGACACAACCTCTTGAAGGGCAACCTGATCATAGATTTACTAATAATCTTATTTTTTCTCATTTTTCCCATTGTTAAATAAAATTGGGGTGTGGGTTGGAGGTGCCCTCAAGTTGAGTTTTGAGATATTTTTAGCTGCAAACTGGGGTGTGTATATTTAGGTTGTTCTGATGCCGATGTTTCACTTTTGTGCAGAATGATGGAAATCCTAAATAATAGTGCAGCTGAACACTCCAATAAGGAAAGCAATGGAGCGAATGAGGAACAGTGAATACATTATTTTGATTCATTCACTTTTAGATTCGGGAAAAAAATCCAGTTTTAGGGGGGATGGAATGGGATATTCTGTTTTTCCTACTGTGCGGTGTTTATTGTCTCTGTAAAAGAAAAACTGTGTTTATTGTGTTATAAAATTTTCATTTGAAACATGAATTTTATGACTTTTTTTAAATATTATTTTTGCACGAGGGAGGGAGAGGTGCGTGGATTAGCTTTTTCTACGTGGGCGAAATTCACCGTTCTGTGTTTTTTGTCGACAAAATTATCGTTTAGATTTTGATTTTCATTCTATGTCGGTCTTTTTATACCTACTGTAATCATCCATTATCCTGAAAAATTATCATGTATTCAGGGTACAAAATGCTCGATTTCAAGTTCAATATTTACTCTCGTGTTAATGTTTTTTGCTTCAAATTCTCACAAGAAACATCTAAATATAAACAAGGAAGGTTTATTCAAAAGAAAAATAGATGTAATGTTGGCAATCATCGAGGAGGTCTAAGGAGTTTCAAAACACGAAGCAAATTGAAATTTCTGGATGCCGTTCGAAAATGGGGATCAGAACAAAATCTTAAATGATATGATACTTAAGAGTGCATTGTTATGCAAAAACTACTGTACATTTGATTTTAGCTAGATACAATGTTCATTTGATATAAATTATTTTTTGATTGTTATATAACAAAATAGTTTTCCAAGTACAAAATTTGAAATAGTATAATATACTATAACTAAGCAAACCAAGCTTGCATATTAAAGATAATGCAAAGAACTGAAATTTTGTCAAGTATAAAATGATAAGAATTATAAAATAATTTGTAACTGCTAGATAAAAAAATTTATTCTCAAATTGTCTAACTTAAACAATTCAAAATTCAATACAACAAGAAGATGAATAAGGTGTTGTATTAACTTTTGAATGAGAAACCAAGATTTCACTTGATATTAAAAGGCACATGTCTTCAATCAATAATATCAATTCATCATAGCTCATTCAAAATTACGCTTATCATTATTGAACAAATCAATTAGGATATGACAAATTAAAATTCAAATAGGAAGCAACTTAATTTAACTACAAGTCCAAACTAAATTTTTATTAGTCAATAGAGTTGTACATTCTGCAAACTAGAATAAAGGTCAAGGGAACTTGATCAACAAGGAACACACTTCACCCTTTCCTTTTCAAAATTTAATAACTTTCAACCATAAAAGTCACCAAAACATCCGCTATCCTACCAAGATTTTAAAAAAAAAACACAAGCAATTTCCAAACTAACCTACACAAGCAATTTCATAAATTAAGAGGAATATTTACTAAAACTTAGCCTATTTTCTAGCCTAATATTTACTATCAATATGATTCAACATCTTTATAGGTCATACAAATTATAAACAGATAAGGTACTAAGTAATTATTCAAGCTTTTCATCAAACATAGTGTGTTCAACACCTAAGGTTGACCAAACAACATGCTATATCAATGTACACAAATAAAAAAATACTAATAGAAAAAGAAGAAAAAGAGAATAAAAATGTATCCAAAGATCAGAAGTAAGGTGTCATGCATATAAAGTCTCCACATATTTAGAGTAAGAAAAATGGTATAATAACTTGATATGTAGACTAGTTTCCTTCAACCTAATAGTGAAATTGTTGCTTCAGAAGTTAAAAATAATGCCAAGATCTTAAAAAATAAACCACATATCAAACCAAAAGCAATGACAAAATGCAAAAGGGAATGTAATGAAAATACAACGAACAAAGAAGAGAGAGATTGTTAAGCTTGCATTGAAGAGAAATGAAAACTCTAGAGTGCTTTGTGTAAACTAATGTGCAAAAAAGGTGATGTGTTCATAAAATTGGTATTGTTAACAATTTTTTACATCAGTTTGTGGAAAAAAAAAACATTTTACATCATTTTTAACAATCAATGTAGAAAATATCTCACAAAAATTTAAAGAATCTCTTTGTTTTGATTTTTACATTGAGTGATTTTAAGACTAATGTAAAAAATATTTGTTACATTGGTTGTTTCTAGAATATAATAAGTACTTTTTACACTAATTATAAAGAACTGATGTAAAAATATTCTCGTAAATTTAAAAAATATCACAACTTTTTTTTATACAATTTCTTTCATAATCAATGTAAAATCTTATTGTAAAATGTAATTTTACATTAGTATGAGTTCTTGCAAAAAAAAATAAAAAATTCTTTTTGTATTTCAAATGGTTCCTAAAGTTGCTTCATGAAGGTGAAAAATTTTCCAACAGGACATTGATTTGAAACATTTCACATATTTGCATCCTTTTATTAAGAATATTTGCAACTAAATTTTCATAAATATGTACCTATTTCATTATTGGCTTGTCATCCACCATATAAAATTGCAACCATTTTTCAGTGACATATTTTCTTTTCTTAGCATCATCAACTTCAATTTTTGTTTCAAATATTTTCTATATAGAATTTGGAGATTTTTTGAGACAAAATGATCAAACAATTTGTTAAGCATATGATTGAGAATATATTCATGTATTAACTTGTTTGACTTTTTGTAAGTCTTGAGTCTTAGTAGGTTTTGTAATAACTTAAGCATTGTCACCATTGTCGGCAAGAATGATTGGAGGATATGTGAATGGGACATGGTTTAATTTTGAATTGTTTAAATAAGATAAAAAGCTTTGTGACCAACTTTTATAATTGGTACCGTCCAAGGCTCAAGTCTTGATATGTCAATAAGGGTATTCTTGTTAAACAACATTGCCATAGTCTACAAAACTCTAGCTTTGAAATTGTTATAAATGAGTAGGAACAAATGCGTTACGCCATGGAAGAACCACTGCCTTAAAAGCTAGACTCCAACATACATTTGGGACAACTTGAATTTAGACTCTCCCAAGGTTAGCATAATAACACATATTGACTTGTGCACTAAGACTATAATATGTTGGAGTCTTAGGCAAACTTTTCCCATAACACAAAGGAAAAAAATAATTTTCTAACTTTCAAGTTAATAACCGACCAACTTATAAAGTGCAATGTTAAGGTTTTTGGACACTTTGCACGTAATCTCCACACAATTAATCACACAATTAATCACGCAATAAGTGGTAGTAAATTAGGAGTTTCTGGAAGTTGGAAGATTAATACAAAAATTAACATATCTATTTTTTAATGGCTGTTGTGAGACATATGGTTTTGGCAATGTAAGATTTAATGAAACTAGCTAACATTTCATTATTACTTAACTTGAGAAATTGATTTCTTATATAAAACAAGGAAGTCCATGTATTAAGTGAGATGGATTGCTTGTGGAAATGTTATATGCCTATCTAATGATCACAACAGTAGGCTCCATCATTAATGATTATAGTATGACATTGTGGGGATGTATTCTAAATAAAGATTGAGTTTCTTGTGCAGGAACCAAACAAAATCTGTCAACATTCATCACTAATGTAAATTTTTGAGGTGAAAGGACTATGTGGTCTTGTAGCTCACACCAAAGCACAAGCTGTAATGTGCACATGGATGTCCAAGATGCTCCAAGGTCAAGTCATACTTGCCTCCTCTTTGTGTCTAATTACAACAGAAAATTGAAAATGTTACCATTATTGGAGGAATCTCTACAGAAAAGACTCATCCAAAGCTCAACCTCATCGCAAAGGAAAAGAAACTATTAAGAATTTCATGTTTTGGAGGAGAGATTCCATCTATGAATGTTACAAATTTACCAAGCACACACCCCTCACCCATTCTAATAATTTGATGCTTGTTTGGACTAGTGAAACTACTCCTTACGAGTGTTTGTTCACAGGTTCGAACCTTTTAATATTAGAAAAGTCTTTCAACTATTGAATTCAATCTCACTTCCCACTTTTTTTCTCCTTTTTTTTTTGGTTTAAAGCTTTAAACCACCTTGTAGGTTCTTGGACAAAATGAATTTGGTTTGGTCTAATCTTTATGAAATTCAGCCTATTTCTTTCGCTCCTACTGTATTTTCTAATGCAATTTTTTGGGTGGTCTAGTTTAATGCAAAAATGTAAATTTAAGCATATCATGTGTGTCACGATAAAATAAAAAATAAAAAAGACACAGAAATGTACGATAAAAAAAATGTGTAGAAATTATTATTTTAACAATAAGAAATTGAATTTATAAATTATAATATAAAATTATAGTTTTATTTTTATTGGAATCATCATAAATCATATGACTGTTTTTCATAAATTTAATAATTGATTAAAAATGAATATAAACAGTGCTTGATTCGTAGGATCATCAGAATTAAAATATAATATAGAAGTGTAGGGTTTTCTTTTTCCAAAGAAAAAATATATTTTTTTTTAAAAATACACGGGGAATGGAAAAATCCTATAACATTAGCTAGTAACACCTGTGAAACACCATAGCAGGAAAGTTGGGCTATTTAATTTTATAAATTTTTTTTATTTTACTTTTACACTTTTAATTACAAAATTGTCACTTTACTTTTATTCTATTTTCTGTTTCAAAATAGAAAACACTAAAAAAGGGGAAAAAAAAGTTATTTTCAATGTTTCTATACAAATCTTTAAAATTAGGAACTACAATGAAAACAAGATAATAGTTTTGCAGTTAAATGTAAAAAAACAAAAAACCTCTCTTAAAACCAGACAGCTCCTTACAGGTCACATGCTTATTTGTTTCCCTACAGACTCGGTGCACCTGATCCATTTCAAGAAGCTGAGTAATAGCATTAACCAAGTTGTAAGACACAAGATATACTCTGATTCCAAGACCTGCCAATTCCCAAGGCCTTCGATAATTTTGGCATCAAAGCTCTCAATTTTAATAAAATTCATACAAATCATAGTCATTAAGTTTACATAATCAATCATGCCCCTCAGACTCACAACTAATTTCATTCCCCTGTGATCTGTCTGTGTGATGTGTGACAATGTTGGATTGTCATATAAATATATGACAATCCAACATTGGTTGACATTATACTATTAGTGTATTCCAATTAAATTCATTTGACATCAATGAACAAACACATGCCAAAATCACGTAACCTTGTTGGCTAATTTCTGAAACCAATGATTTTACTCAGAAATTACAAAATTTATTTCATAACAAAAGAAAAAAGAAACAGCAAAACAAAATTAACAGAATTGAACATATAGATAGAGAAGCCCAGTTTTGCATTAACCATAGCAGCTGCTATATATTCAAACCAAATTAGCATAAGCTGAAGTGGCTGGATCTTACAAGGAAACTATACATGACATTACAGACTACAAAAGAAAGATAAAGAGAAATCAAGGAACATAGTGGTGGAACATAATTAACCAAAGAATTTGGGGTCATAGCCATTGCTAGTGGTGGCTAAAATATAGTAAGCAACAACATGGCCAATGGAACCCCAAGCCAAGACATCAACAATGTTGAAGCCAACAGGGTCATTGGATTTGAGGAGGCTAACATACTCCTTGGCACGTGTGTCACCAGCCTCAAAGTGTGTTAGTCCATTCTGCTCAGGAACTTGCTTTGCAACATTTTCTCTTTGGAAGTTGAAGAACACAAACCTTCCCAAAAAGAGGGATAGCCCAGTGCTGAGGCTTATCACAAGAGCTGAGTTGAGTTCAGCTCTCACAACACCACGAGCAACCCTTTTGTTGGGAGTGAAAGTCCTCACTTTGGTTGAGATTGTGGACCTTGTGAGGGGTCTAAGACCCTGAAAGCACACATTGGATGGTTTCAAATGATGGTTTTGGTGCTTTTGGATGGTGGGAGATAAGGCTGGAGTTGATATCATGGATGATGCTGAAGCTGCCATTTTTGGGTGTGTTGAAGCAAGTGTGATACTATTAGATAACTAGGATAAGAGAATTGTGCAGTGGAGAATGAAGGAGTAGGTAGCTAGAAGCATATATGAGATGGGATCATGTACTATGACAAGGGGCGGTGGTAGAGAAAGATAAGATGCATTGTGATTGATTGTAAACCATGGAATAAAGATTGGCTGCTGACTTGGCCTTTTTCTATTGGTTTGTTTTGGATCACAGATTTTTTTCTTGCTTTTTCTTTGTTGTTTTGAATGATCGAATTTATTTTCCAAGTTGAGTTTAATATTACTTGTTTTTATTTTGCAAGTTAAACTATCAATGCATTAGCTTTCACTTGAAGAAATATTATTTCTTTTTCACCCTTGCCGTGGACTTGAAAATTTTCATTTTTATGGGCAAACTAAGCAATAAAAGGGTGGATAGTAAACCATTAATCAAACTTTCTGTCAAAATAAATCATTCTACCTATCAATATAGATTGGTTTTTTAGCAAGCACGCAAATAAAAGAAACTGAATTATAATAATGGTAGATAAATAATTGTTACCATAAAATGCACCAAATAGTTGAGACATGCGAGAACTGTTTTGGTGTTTCTGCTGGTATTTTGAAAAAGTACCAAAATCTTGTTTTTAAAATCTCAATTTCAGAACAGATTGAGAAGCAAAGTTGTAATAGATATCTATATGTAACTATTTGTCGTTGCCATTTACTATCATACGTCAATATTTGACGATCTTCGGTCACATCTTTATTTGTAACCTTAGAAAAACGGGAAAAGGAAAGGCTTTTTGATGGCTAGAAGGTGACAGATTACATCCCATATATTTTTAATATAAAATGATCAAATTTTATTTTATAAAATTTATTAATATTTTCTTCACAAATCTACATATAATCAAAATAGTTAAAAATATACTTTTTGTTTTTAATGCATAAGCATCTATTTCCTCCGCTTTGATCATTCTCTATTAGTGGATCATGCATGGTTTGAGAATATAAGCATTGTTAAATTTTAAACTTGCTTCAACCAGGGAGTTTTGGCATTCATGAAAAATACCACCTTGCAAACCTACTTTTTCGACTGGATTTGACTTCTTGATAGCAATGAGACGTCTAAAGTGAAATAATATAAGTCTATTTACCGTTGATTTAAGGATACATTTATATAATGCTTCAATTTAAATCAATAATAAATAAATTCTAACTTTTTCTTTTACACATTTTCTCACTTTGAAAGAACTAAACCTTTTTTTTACCTATATCATTTTTCTCAAAAAATAGTTTAGGAGTTGAATTTTGGAGACAAATGAAGATTATAAATATTTTATTTTTAAATGTAAGGAGTTATTTAATAATATTTATAAAAGTAAATTAAAATTTTACACATTAAATTTATTCTAATATATTATTAAACATTAAAAATTTGGCTTCTCACCAATCTAAGTGTCCATTGTGCTTCAAATTTTCTCTCTGCCCAAAAAATGATATGTTAAAATTTCCTAAAATCCTTTTTTTTTTTTTGTGGCGTTGCTCACTCTGATTCATGGATTCGAGTAAGGTGGTGTCGTAGAAGTTTCAAAGCAATTGAGTTTTTACTGACAAACTGAAAGAAAGTTGTGAAAGGGGTCTCAAATAGAATGAAAGATTTAAGTCTGGACTTGTTAGAGGAGGATAAAAAAGTTGTGAAAGGGGTCTCAAACTGAAAGAAAGTTTTGAAGCATAAAAAAGGTTAAAACCATGGAAAACATGTAGAATGAAAAGCAAAATTATCAGATCAAGGTGAAAGATGTTATGACAGAAGATCATTGTCAAAGCAATCTGAAATTAAGGTTTGATGTTTTGACAAAAGAAAACTCTTAAGTATATTCTAAACCACGTTTTTATCAATCTATTTTATACAACTTAGAGTTCAAGCGTTGTAATCTTATCTTGAATGATAATGATATCATTAATATTATTATGGAAGATTGTTCTTGTAATATTACTGGAACTGTAGAAACAGTGTTTTTAAATTCTATATAAGGAGTCCTCAACTATATTATGAGGCACCCTTTTATTTACTCAATTTTAGAGAGATACTCTAGAGAGAAGTGCTTTGAGACACGATCTTTGTAAGCCCTTTTCTTTAAGTGTCAATAAAATCTTGTTTCATATTTTTTTTTTCCTCTTTCTCTTCACCAGTTCTATTCAGATTACCGTCGTCCGACTTTCTTCCCTTCTCCCTTTACTAAATCTGTGTTGGTTCAACCGCCGTTCTAGTTTTTGATGTTTTAAATTAAGCTATTTAAATTTTTACACTTATCATTTACTGCATTTCATATAGTAGTCCTGCTGCTGCCTACTTTCCTTTCATATTTGTTTAGTTATCCTCGATTCACTTCGGGTTATCTGGTTTATTTATACACACACACACATCCATATTCAATCAACTCAAGCCCAGCTACCCCCACATTACATTTCACTCATTCATGCATGTCCACGTCATACACATATATATACATCATCATATACGTATATCAAACATACAACCACATGAAAATACACATATATCATTATATTAACATATTAAAATATTATTAAAAAAATCTGGGGCGTTACAAATGTAATTGCTTTCAATGTTGTATGCTCAACAAGCTTAAAATTAATGGTTGAAACTATTGGAAACTATGGTCCACACCTAAAGCCTCCAAGTTATCATGAGTGTAGAGTTTCTCTTATTAAAAGGAGTTAGATTATACCCAAAAAAAATGTGAAAAGTTTTGACGAAGAAAGAGAAATGTGTGGATGTTCAATTATGTCAAATGTGTGGACAGATAAAAAAAATAGAATATTGATCAATTCTTAGTAAATTGTCCAATTGGTTCTATGTTTGTGAAGAGCATTGATGCATTTACTTATATGAAAAATGGAAAAAAGTTGTTCGAGCTCTTGGATAGTTTTGTTGAGGAGATTGGAGAGAAAAATATTGTGCAAATAGTTACTAACAATGGAAGTAATTATGTTAGCCAGTAAGAATTATTCTTAACTCTCAAGCAATATCATTTAAATAATTTGTATTCATATTTTTAGTTTTTGATTTTAGACTATGCAATTTAATTTTAGGTAAGTTGTTGCAAATTAAAAGACCACATTTGTTTTGGACTCCATGCGTTGCACACTATATTGATTTGATGTTGGAAGACATTGGAAAAATACTAAGAGTCAAGAGAACAATTCAAAGAGGAGTTGTTCTTGTAGGTTTTATTTATAATCATTCATTAACTTTGAACATTATGAGGAAGTTCACAAATAAAGCTGAATTGGTTAGATATGGAGTGATAAAATTTGCCACAACATTTCTCACATTACAAAGGTTGCATAATAGAAAAAACAACCTTAAAAAATGTTCACTTTCAATGAGTGGTTAAAGGCCAAAACGGCCAAATAAGCTAAAGGAAAAAGAGCAACAAACATTGTGCTTATGCCTTTGTTGTCTAAAATCCTAACTAGCAAGTGAACTAGGTGATTGTAGTAAGAAATAAAAGATGGAAGTGTGAGTTTCAAGTATCGTTCACACGGATTGATGCATTCAATTATCAATTCACAAGATTCACAAACTATTTAAGCTAATCGAAAGTTGTAGAGGTTAGAAATTCAAGAACTAGAATATAAAACATAGCAAATGAGTTAAGATTCAGATAACAGAGTGCAAGTACTGAAATGAATTCACTAATCCAATGGATTTAGCGTTGATTTCACCTAATATTCAATTACAAGTCTAATTATATTTGATTGATTGATGATCTAATTTTCTAATTTAGTCAAAGTTCAATTCCTTGACTCAATTATCCTAATATCTAATTAATTATCCTGATTCCTTAAGTGTGAATCAATCAAATATTGCATGAGGACTAAGAATTCAATAGACCATAAGATTATTAATTCTTATTCCTAAGATCTCAACAATATTGAGATTCATCTCATATTAGATTTATTCACTTAATTTCCATTGATGCAAATACTGTAGAAACAATCCAATTAAGTAACTAATTCAAGAATGAGATTAAGAGATGGGATGAATGTTCAATACAATCAAAATCTAAGAAATCAAAATAACAACTAGATTACAACATCAAAAAAGGATTCATCAATCCCTAACTAAGGAAATTAGCAAAACATAATGGAAGAGAGAGAAAGAAAGAAAGTGTAGCAGAAAAGGAGATGAAGAACTCCATCAATTTTGAGACCTAAGCCAGTTTCCACTTGAAGTGAGTCTTTAGAATCACTTCTAGATCTCTCTCTCTCTCTCTCTCTCTCTCTCTCTCTCTCTAAGAAGGTGATGACGACAAAAATTGAAAAAAAAAGCTACTAAAAATCTATAGTTTGAGCTATTTATATATTTTTCCACGCTTCAAGTGATCACTTTTGTCACCTAGAGTAGCTACGTGCAACAATAATTGTTTTTCATGCCTTTGGAGTGATCACCATTGTCATCCAGAGTGACTACACGCAACCACAATTGTTTCCTGCACCTTTGGTGTGATCACTTTTACTATTGAAAGTGGCTATGCACAACAAATCTCTTTATTTTGCCTTTTAAGTGATCATTTTCACCACTGAAAGTGGTTACGTGTAGCATATTTCCTTTTATTGTGCCTCTAAAGTGATTAATTTTGTCAACCAGAGTAGCTACATGCAAACTATTTCTTTCCCTTTTGATTGAATGTAGTCGCTTTCAGAGAAAAATTGATTACACAGAAGGTCTTCTTCATTCTTTAGACTTCCTACTCATACAATCTTACATTGAAATTAAAATTTTATGCAAAGTTATCTATTTCATGTGATTTTTATTTCTCTATATACTAATTCACACCAAAATATCCTAAAAATCTAATTATAAATCTACTAAAAGTTTGAATTTATTACCCTTTTTTTTGGAATGATGTGGCTTTCAATCTTAAGGCTATAAGGCCACTTGTGCAAGTTTTGAGGCTTGCTGATAATAAAAGAAAGCAGCCAATGAGTTATATATATGAAGCAATTGATAGACATAAAGAAAGCATTCAAAATGCATTCAAAGAAAATGTAGACAAATATAAGGAGATTTTTGCTATAATTGAT